CGTTTATGCCTCTTAAAAAATGTATAGAATGAGGAAAATGCCAGGGTGTAGCTGTGGTGCATTGTAGTTAGGTGCTCTCTTTGGGAGTGACTGAGAATCACAGTGAGGTTGCAGACGTGGAGGACTGCAGAGCTGGTGTCCTCAAGCCCTGCTGGGGAGAGTTGCAGAGTGGCCAGTGGAGGCAGGTGCACCCAGCATGCCCATGGGGAGCAGGGCTGGGCTCATACGCCCACCACAAAGTCTGCGTGTCTTGTCCTAGCTTGTCAGCACGGGATTTGATTCCCTAGGACAGTTGGTGCCACCAGACTGCTCAGGATTCAGAAACTTCAAAGCATGAGTAAACAGCATAAAAGTCTAATATTAACCTTGCATTTTTGGCTGATAATGTAAGTGGGGTCATGGATTTGAGACTAGCTCTGTGGCCTGCTGTTATCGTCATTTGCCCGGACAAGCCAGTCCGTTCTGGTTCTCCAGACATCAGGGTTATTTTGGCGATGATTAGAATTTTGCTGCCGATGTCCCCTTGTCTCTTCCAAAAGGACTTAATACTCTCTGTTCCAGGTGAATGGGCTCCAGGTGAAGCCATTCAGTATGGCTAATATTATAAAAAATGAAATCATAAAAACACCAAGTATATTGGTTTGTGCAGCTAATCCAAGATTAGGCCAAATCTCTTACGTCGGCTTTCTCCGTTTATTATTTTGATTCCATTAAATTGCATATGTTGCCCATATTTTTTATGAATCTTTGCTGTTCATATAAACACTAAATGAAGAACCATACACATCACACTATATATTTGGGGACAAAGATATTTTGTTATCACTCTTAAGTTGATTTTCTTTCCAGAAAACACACTTAGTGCGCCCAGTATTAAAAAATTATTAACTTCTCTCACAGTCAATTTTGGGACTCAGTCCCAAGGAAGTTTTCTTCTCAGAATAGAGGAGCTAAAAATGTATGTAGCACACAGAAGTTTTATCTCTCAGTCAGCTGGAATGTGAAGCCAGCAGAGGACATGGTCAGAGAGGCCTTGATAACATGAGGTGGCCTTGCAGCTGTCAGATACCGCATACAGAAGCATGCTCTAGTTCTGTGAGGAGGGGGCCTGCAGCGGCAGAAGGACGGCACCAAGTGGTGCCCTCATTGACCATGGGTGGCAGCGTCCCCACAACTTTTGACTCTCCTTGTGAATGATAGCATTAGTAAAATTCAGGGTTGATTTTAATTCCTATCACATTACATACAACATGATTGAATCAAATTGAAGCCTTGCATCCTCCTTAACTCTAGTTAAGACCCCTTGGGCTTAAATTTATAAATTAGCTAAGTCATATATAGTTGTATACAAAATTATTAAAACCCACCATGATTTCATGAGAAATAAGGAAGAATTTCAGGTGTAGGTTTAAAGCCCTGTTTTTGTCCCAAGGACAGCAGATGGTCACTCCTTTAGTTACAGAAAGAAAATAACAAAGTCACAAATAGGTTGGGGTCTGAATACTGTCTGCCTCAGTAGCTTGAAAAACACTGTTGGAAAATGTCAGCATTGCCTGTCTTGGTACGATACGGATTGTCTTTCCAGAGAGGGTAGGCCTTATAACTCTGGACACAAAATAATGAAGTGTTAAATAGATTAGTAACTGACTGAAGTATAAAACCCCTGCCCACCTAGAAAGTGGCAAGGCGACTTGGAGGATGACCTCACAGCCTTCCAGATCTGTCAGTAACGTGTATGAGAGAGAGGAATTCCGTCCACTCGTCTCTCCACCTGTGACTGTGGAAAGGACCCTTTGCTTGTCCAGTAACGCTCACACCTGCAAACAGGAGAGCTGGGGCAGGGGCCAGGGGGGTTTCAAACCTGGCCCGTACACGCTAAAGCTGAATCCCTACCAACTTGAGAGAGAACTTGGGACACAGAACCAATAGCTTGTTCACTGACCCTGTTTTTACTGTAAAGTTGCTTGGATTTGGATAAAAGCAAGACAGTTTTGAATGTAACAGTGGTTCCCGTTTCGAGTTGTGTTCATGCATCACAGGGTTGGGAGTGGATTGGCGCCTGACCTGAGATGGAGTGTCACCATCCTTGCCCCTAAGGAGCTCCCTGGTTGTGTTTGTTCCATTAGTTCTTAGATCATTAAAAAGCCCCTCATCCTGGACGTCATGAAAATTATATGGAAGCTGAGGTTTTTAAATGAGTGTTTCTTTTGGTGAATAATGGATGCAGGTATATCTAGAAGTCCTTGTTAAGTATATGTGGGATTCAAATAATGGGTGAGCAGTTACAGAGAGCTCCAGGATCCTGCAGGAGGGGTGCCATATCAGGCCAGGAGCTCTGTCCTCACTGAACGTGCAAGTGGCCACCGCCCCACCACTCACACACCCACACACTCACTCTCTTATCTCCTGTATTTGTTGTTGGCATTGGCTGTGACTTCCTGTCACTGTGATGTGCCAAATGCGTTATTTTGCTTTCAGACAATAGCCTCTGGAATTATAGCATCTAGTTATTCATTGTCTCTTGAGGCAGCAAAATGCCACAAATACTCCTTGGTAAGAGTCACACAGTTGCAGTGACTTGCTTCCAAGAAAGACAGAAACCTCCTCTGGATTCAGTCCTTTATGCTCACAAGTGGGGCTGATAACGTGTTTTGTTTGGTTTTGCCTCTCCCAAATTTGGGGTTCATTCACAACTCTAGAATAAATGGTGAGCTTTCCCACGGAGCACCTCTTTTCCTCCCCCAGCCCACTGTGGAAGGCTCCATTAGCTCCTCCAGCTTTCTGTTCTCAGCTTTACAGCCTTATTCATGCCACGGAAGATGCAGAGATGACGAAAACCTTGTTTCTTCTCTTAAGAGGAAATGGTAAAGCCAAAACATGTAGATAAGTAATCTTAAAGGTTAAAAAGCAAAGTACAGTAGAGACTGGAGTGCAGGAGGTGGTTAGAGCACTCTTCAGTAATTATATTGGTCTCCTTGGTCGTCCTGCTAATAAAACAGGTGTGAAGATTTTATGTGTGTGTTTATATGTATATACACACATAAGTGCACACATACATGCATAACACATCCATTATGGCAGCAGTCAAGAAATCAGCACCAGCAACATACAAATGTAAAGCTAGATTATTAGTGGCCCGTTCCAGAGGAAAATACTGCCAGAGAAACTCAGGGGCTCATTGAGGATGATGACACCAATTCCCAGTGTGGCTCTTGAGTGAGCCTCACATGCCCACTTCTCTGTGCTCCACCCTCACATCGTCCACTTCCGTGTGCACTCCCTCTCTCTATCTCTTGTGCTCTGTCTTTTTCACTGTCTGTTTCTCTCTTGCTCTGTCTCTAGTCAGATGCCACAGGTCAAGAAGATAGCATCCTCAGCCAGCCAGTTGGGCAGAATCCAGCTGAGGATTTGGGAGTCCACGTGCTTTCTGACCTGACACACAGTCTTAGCCAGTTTCTCACTGTCTCTTCAGGATGCCCCTTTGAGTTGGTAATGGCCTTACCACTTGGCCACCAGACTATCTAAATGAAATTCCCCACAGAGTTTAATTTTCTAGTTGTTGCATTGGTGCAGGATATGTTTATAGGGACATAAGAGTTGTAGTGGACTCAATGCCACTTAATGACAATGGCAATTTTAGGTTGTCTTTTTGGATTATTTCACCTGTTCACCCTCTTTGTGGCTGTGGACATGAGCTGACTTCCAGGGAGTTACTGCTATGCCCTGGCACAGTTGATGAGTGAGTAACTGTTGACCACTTTGCTTCCTGTAACCTTGACTTTGGCCTCCAGGTGAAGGTCTGTCTTGTTCTCAGGCAGATCCCAGCAGTGGCCCGGGGCCGACAGTGTGTGTCATCGATGAAATTGGGAAGATGGAGCTCTTCAGTCAGCCCTTCATCCAGGCTGTCCGCCAGAGGCTGTCCACACCGGGCACCATCGTGCTTGGCACAATACCTGTCTCGAAAGGAAAGCCACTGGCCCTGGTGGAAGAAATAAGAAACAGAAGTGACGTGAAGGTGTTCACTGTGAGTATGTCCCAGGCTCCAGTGTGTAACAGTGGCCCAGGACATCCAGCCCCGCAGACAGCCTGGGCTAGGAACTCAGCCCCTTAGATGCCCAGGCTGGGAACCCGGCCCCGAAGACGGCCCAGGCCAGGAACTTAGCCCCTTAGATGGCAAGGGCCTGGAACCCAGCCCTGCGGATGGCCCGGGCCAGTCCTTGGCCCTGCGTTCCATTGTTTGCCCTCTGACGCTGTGGGATTGGTGAGTTTGACTTTCTCAGAACTTACAGCATTTAAACTAGTTGATATTTACTTGATGAAGAACAGTCTTATCCCTTGGTAGGTGCCTATCCTGTTTGCTGCCCTGGCTCCTTCCTTCCTCTCCTTGGGGACGTGATGACCCCTTGGGCAGCAGCTGAGGCTCTTGTGTGAAGTGTCTCTCTTCTAGGAAGATCCAGGCTCAGGCTCCAGGCATACATTTGGGCTGCAGAGATTTACAGTGTTTTCTTTCAGAGGCTTTAATTTTTCAGCCAACTCACTCTTGCTTATGGCAAGAGGAGAGTATGGCTTTGTTTTGAAGCATAACTTCCCGATGCTGAGGGTCGGACCCTGCTCCATAGTCATGCTCCTCTCATCCTTAACCCCCTAGTGGAGGGCAGCATAAGGTGTCCCTTCGTCCTTAACCCTCAGTGAAAGGTGTTCCACTAGGAACCCAGCTTTCCAACATACCAAATATGCTAGGCTGTGGAAAACTTTGAAACTTAGAAAGCTTTACTTACACGTTCTTTTGTAGGTAGATTTCATCCACACATTTGGTGAATATTGATTGATCGTCTAGTGTGTTTTGTCTTTGAAGTACTGAATTTGAGTGACACTTGATTAATAGGGTTGACCTCAGTGACTTTACATTGTCATGAGACAGCTGGATGACAACAGTATAAATAAAGTTGACAGTTAGACACTGCTAAGTGCAATGGGGATAGTAAACGTGAGCCACGTGGTAAATTTTAAGGGCAGGAGTTGTGGGAGGGCTTGGCCTTTGGTGATGAAAGTCACCTCCACTGAGGTGCCCTGTGAGCTGAGGGCTTGAATCTGTGATGGCATCAGGCGGTAGGTGATCTCCTCGCAGTCTCATGAGCTGAGGGCTTGAAGCCGTGATGGGGTCACGTTATCGGTGACCTAGCAGTCCCTAGGGGGGGCCTTGTCTACAGGGTCTTATGTTGCCTTTTCTGTCTTTCACATTTCATGACCTTTGTGATAAGGATTTTGTTTGTGATTCCTGAGTTTCTCTGAAGATAAAGACAATGAATAGATGAAAGCCCGTGAAACAAATGAGTTCTCTGATTACCTAGCTTCCAGGCTGGCAGACTGGGAACTTGCTTGTGTTACACCTCCAGGTAGTCTGCAAATGGATCTAAGTGCTGTGAAGAGGGGCTGAGACATGTGGACTATTCTGTCCAGAAATAAGCATTGTGATTTAAGAGAACACCTTTTCTCCTCCCTAAGACGGGATTATTCTCAAGGCGAGGTAAATAATTCCTTCGAAGGATCTGAGAGTAAAGTAATTAGCTTTGTGTTAATTGTGTGAGAGCTACACCCCACAATTTTCTTTACTGTGTTCCTTTGGGGTTTGTGTGCTATTTCAGTTTCTGTTTTTCAAATGAAGCCCCTCATTTATTACATCTGAAAATTGAGATACTAGGTTAGATACCATCTTGGGTCTTTTTCATTTCTAATAATTAGTAAAGGGCCAGGATCCCCTTTTCAGGAACCTCCTTTGCCTTTAGCCCTTGATCCTTAGTACCAGGAGCACGTGAGGCACATCCTTTCCCTCAAGAAAAATGCGTAGTGAGATGGTTAGGATGAGGAGACAGGGATGAGAAGGTGGAGAGTCTGGGAGAGAGGTAGTTCTTGAAGGAAAAAATGGAGTGAAAAGGGAAGTGGACGGTTTGCCCCCTTGACTCCTATAGGAGCCTGCGTGACACAGAGGTGGGATTGTGTACATGAACTGGAGAAAAGCCTTCCACCCAAAATTGTTAATATTACACGGACTTCTTAAATGGTGTCAGGCAAAACTCCATTATTTCCAGAAAAGCAGCTGAGCAGACTAGACTCGGAGTTGGAGTAGATGCTCTCCTCTGTATCTATTCCGTTGATGACGGCTGAAGTTCCTGGACATAACTCAGGAACCTCTTGTCTTCCCACCAATCCTCTTCATGCCATAGGCTGCTCTGTCAGCTCCTGAGCTGAGAGCGGTCTGATCTTTGTTGGAGAGAAAGCAAAGCAAAAATGAAGCCGGGAGTTCTATGCTCTGTGTAACTTTGGGTCTGTTGGTTTTGTGATGGTTTTAGTTACAGAAAATACACAGCTGCCTCTACTCCTTCATGAAGTGCTTCTCCTCTAAGTAGGCATCCATGTCTCTGAAATGACGACATGCCTTACCTCAGGTGCCCCTGCAAGACCCAGATTCTCTTAAGTCTGGAGAGAGAAGAGCCTTCTCCCCAGTCACTCAACATGCCTCCCCCTCTCCCTGATCTCAGAGTCCCACTCAGAGTCTCACCTTTTGCTGAACCCCCCCTACTTTCTTCTCAATGCAGGTTACCAAGGAGAACAGAAATGGCCTTCTTCAGGATATTGTGGTGAGCGTTCAGAGCTGCAAGAAGTGAAGGCGGCTCGTGTAGCTGTTTGTACTCAGAGAACCGTGTGCAGTTCAGGGGGAGCCCATAGGTGCTTTGCCGTCAAGGTTATGTGCCTCGGCTTGTGATCATTATGGTCTTCAGGCCTTGCGGGCTCTGCCTGAGAACGCCTATCACCTGGTTTCCATTAAATGTTTAAAAGATCAAATTAGCCTTAATGCTGCATTGACTATACAAGATTAACCATCCATTACGGTTTATTTATGCTTCAAGTTTTCTGTTTATTTCCTCTTGCAGTCGCGTGCATGATTCTGGTTAATTATGAAATGAGAAATGACTCTGAGAGCATTACATGGAGTTGGCCCACTGAAGTTTATCACATATGCGGGGAAGGGGGGAAGGCGTGTAGGGCTTAATCAACTTTGCGTGTCATGGAAATGAGATTCCTCTCCAGGTGCAGCCTCGGTTTTATGCTATTTTAAATGGTAACTGTTATTTGGGGGTGGGGGGAAGATTATTCCAAAAGACAGCTATTTAACTCCCCTCCCCATTTTTTGTTCTGGTTATTGCTTAATAAATATCAAGCTCACTCTGATGACTGCAGCCACCTGTGTCCTGTGGGAAGGGGCAGCGAGCTCTGAGAGCCTTTTGTGGCCCATATTTTCAACAGGGACTGGGTCAAGCTCAGCTCAGAGCCCTTGTGGGCCACACTAACTCAGAAACACGCATGAATTTCTCAACTCCTGGTCCATCCAGAAAACGAGGAGGACCTTCCTTCAAGGCTGGAGGCACAGCACCACAGAGCAGGAAGGGGACCATCAGCTGGGCTGTTAGAAAAATTTGAAAGTCAACCTAGAATGTTGGTACCTCAGTCAAAGTAGAAAAGACTGAGAGAATGTTTTATCTTGATTTTGTTATGAATGCATGGAGTATAAAAGCTTCCCTCCAAGTGATAGAGAATACTTGTTAGAAATGGAAATCTACCCTTGCAAAATATATGGTGTCAGTGCTAGCCTCCCTCTATCTGTGAATGTATTCGTAAGAGACTGTTTCTGAAACCAGACCTCCCCAAGAGCTAACAGAGACTTTTCCCTTGGAGCCAGTGGTGGATTTGAACTTGCAGACCCTAGCTTTTGAGAATATTTGCTCATTAAATCTACCCAGTTTGAGTATTTCTGTGACTAAGTACTGTAGGAAGAAACAATTGTGTGTTCTTGGTCATTTTTGGCCATGATATACCATTGCCATTCATGACAGGACAGGGCTCCATGTCTGCAATACCCTCCTACAAAGTCTTCTTCCCCTGCCCCTCCGCCCCCCCATTCCATGTCACATGGTCAGGAGTGGCCGCTGACATTTCCCAGTGCCACCAACTTCACATGTGCCTTTCAGATCTCAGGGCTGGCAGTGGCAGAGTCAGGGTTTAGACCCACGTCTGCATGACACTTTCCACCCCACCTGCAATGGTCCTGCTTGGCTTCCTGTCATTTCTTGTCCTCCTCAGCCTGGCTCCAGAACTCAGTGTGGGAACCGAGCTCTGACAAACTGTGCCACTGCCGATCCAAAAAGGATTTGCTCTCTGCGTGGTGCAACGTCCTCAGATGGTTATGGAGCTCCCCTGTCAGATAAAGATCAGGGAGCACATGTGAAGTCAGATCAACCCAGAAACGTCATCGAGAATGAAATGAAGTTCTAGATGATGCAGGGTGGTGCTCACCTGCTTGAGAAGGGGGAGATCCCATGGGGGTTAGGAGCATTTACACCAGGTGACCAGAGGAGAGCTGGCTGCTACTGCCTTCCAGGTGTGGGTAAAGAAGTGACGGGGCAGAGTGGTAGTGTTATGTGCCATTGAGTCGCTTGCAACTTACAGCAACAGCTCTGAACCCTGCTCCATCTTGAGCCAATTTCATTGTTTCCAACAAACCTACCTCCATTACCCCCATCACTGAGTCAGACTATCTCATCCAGGGTCTTTCCCTCTTGTGCTGTCTCTCCACCCTCCCAAGCATGATGTCCCTTTCCAAGGACTGGTCCCTTTTGATAACATGCCTGAAGTATGTCAGACGAAGCTTCAGAATCCTTCCTTCCAAGGAGCAGCCTGATTTCACCCTCTCCAGGATGGACCTGCTCTCTTGTTGTTGTTGTTATGTGCCGTCGAGTCGCAGTCCATAATATGTTCAGTACTCTTCAGCACCACGATTTGAAGGCATCAATTCTTCTATCCCTATTGTCCAGCTCTGATGCATAGCAAGTAATTGCAAAGACCATGACTTGGATCAGTGCACTTTAGTGGCTAGACTGACAGCAGATTCGTCTTTTGATTTCCTGGCTCCTCGAACCAAGAGTGTTGTCTGTAGAGCTGAGCAAGCCTGAAATTTTTAACAGTCTCTGTCTCCTATCTATCATGATGTTGCCAGTTAGCCCAGTGGTGAGAATCTTTGTTTTCTTGATGTTGAACTTCAATGCAAATTAAAGGCTATAGTCCTTGACGTCTGCAGCAAAAGCCTCACATCCTCTTCACTTTCAAAGGTTTTGTCATCTGCATAATGCAGGTTGCTGATGAGTCTTCCTCCAGTCCTTCATGCCACATTCCTCATCATAGAGCCTCCTGGATGATCTGTTCCATATATAGATTGAAATGTATGGAGACAGGATGCATCCCTGGCATACACCTGTCCTGATTTTGAACCATGCATTCTTTCCTTGCTCTGTTCTGACAGTTGCCTCCTAGTCCAAATATAGGTTTCACATAAGCACAGTCAAGTGTTCTAGGATTCCCATTCTTCTCAGAGTCAGCCACAGTTTGTTCTGATACACACAAATGATATCTCTTCTATATCCACTTTTGAAATGTCCACCATTCAAACAAGTGAAGTGACCTGGGAGATTGCTGGATGAGTACACATCTAGGGATAATGAATTAAAAAAAGAAGGGCATTGAAAGGTTAATGACTTGGTCAGAGAATTTCAGGGAGAATGACGTGGTTAGGTGGGACAGCAGAGCTCCTTGGAAATCTTGTAAACGGTCTTAGCAGATGATAACACTACTAGCAACTAAACACTTAATACGGTGTTTTAAGGGTTCCAGTGTAAAATGGTGCAACCACCGTGGAAGGTGGTACAGCGAGCGCTTTCTCAAAAGTTGCAAATAGAGATACCATTTGACCCAGTAATTCCGCAACTGGGAATTTACCCCAAAGGGACCATAACTGACATCCAAGCAGATATATGCACACCCATGTTTATCGTGGCTTTGTTCACAATAGCATGGAGTTGGAAACAACCTAAATGCCCATCAACAAACGAATGGATAGAGAAGCTGTGGTATATTCACACAATAGAATACTACGGTGCACTGAAAAACAAGGAACTCTTACAATATTATTCAAAATGGGTGACTCTGGAGGACATTATGCTGAGTGAAGTATCTCAGTCACAAAAGGACAAATAACTGCATGGTGCCACTGTTGTAGAACAAGTCAGACCTTGCAGTTGGGGGGAGACTGAGAAAGATGGGTTCAATAATGTATAGTGCATTGAAACAGATGAGGGAGAAAACTGTTTAAAAGGGATATGTGATTAGGTATTTTTGTCATGACAGGAGTCCAGAGTGAAGGCTGCATAGTAGAGTGGACCTGGGAGGAGGGATTGTAAAACAATGGAAGAATTTTTCTTTTACTTTTCCAAGAGGATAGTGTACGGGGGTGGGGGGGGAGGATTGGGAGGGGAGAAAAGTGCAACAGTGAATGAATGGAAACCCAAAGTCTCTGTAAATTTTCATTTAAATTAATAATAAATTTTTTTAAAAAATAATATGGTGTTTTATTTGCTGACTAGGTGGAACCAACACATAGTTGACCCTCCAGTGGATTTTCGGAGACTAAAGAGCATGGGAGGAAGCTGTCCCCTTTTCTTCTATGGATCTCCTGGAGATTAGAACCACCTGCCTTTGGGTTGACAGCACAAATCCTTATCATCTGGCCATCAGAATCCCCTATGAAATGGTACGAGTAGTACAGTATTGGTGTATGAACCTATGGAGCCTCAGTTGGGAAGGGTATCAATACCTGAACCAGCCCATGCTCATTCCCTGGATGTAGGTGGCAATCAGACACTTCATACTTTTGGCTGAAGAATACCACTCGGCCACTCCCTGCCTCTGCTGGGTCAGAGTGTGTTTCATTTGCCACACAGAACACCAAGTGTTCTCACCATACTCACAGTTGAGTGGTTTCTCACAGGAGCAATATGAGAACCAAGGAGTGTTGCTGAGTCATTTGGGCTTATAACCTGGTGTGCTGAAAGCCGGGATCTAAGACACCAGTCTCTGGGAACGTGAAAGTAGCATTTAACTACAGCCAACAGGCAGGGAGCTGGGGGCCTCTCAGGCTTCCTCCATAGTGGGGCTGATTACGGATGAGCCCTCAGCTAGGGAAGTTATACATATTCATGCGCATTGCAGGGACCAGCATGCATATTCATTTTCTGATGGGGTGCATGTGCACCAGCTGTCGGGCACCATGCCTTTGGAAAATGGTGTCCCGAGGGTGATGGGCACGAAATTTCTGTGGAGACTGTGTGTGAAGTTCACTGTAAAACACATGAATCACTGTGGCCCAAAGCTGGTGAGGGGTCATATCAGATGGTGCTGGCAAGGTGCTGGCCTGAGGCTTTCCCCATGTAGCGTATAGAGAAATATCTGTAACAAAAGGACAGCCTGTAATAGATTAAAGGGCAGGCCTTGCTGCCAGTCCAGGCCTCTTCCAAGATCCAGAAGCATATGGATGGGCAAGGCTCCCTCCAGTGCAGGGCCCACTTGGCCAGTGCAGCCTCTTCTGGGCCTGCCACCTGCTACCACAACTCTGTCCCTGGGCTACTTCTGTCTCTTCTGCTGTCTTTTGTGTCACAACTCTTGACCTGTGATGCAGTTCCTCTAGAAAAGGTTCTTTGTTGCTTCTCTTCCTGCTTTCTGGCTGCATAGCTACACATACTCCTTGTCAGTTTCAAGGCATGGCCCTCCCACTAGGGCCATGAACTGACCAATCCCCTTTCAGTAGACCACAGACATTTCATTTGCATAGTAAGCTATAGACACATCATTTGCATATTCTGTTGACCAATGTTTGAAAGGTGCATATTGTTAAAAGGGCAGGCTATAATTTGAGAACAGACACAAGTACAAACACCATACTTATTGGCACTTTCCACAGATATTCACAAACCCTCTGAGATAAAGGTAAAACTAGGGCAAATGTAATTTCTTATGGCTTCACACATTCATTGCCTTCAAGTCAGAAATGACTCAAAACTGACCTTCCAGCAGGTTTTCAGAGGCTGCAAATCGTATGGGAGGAGACTGCTCCTTTCTCCATGGAGCAGCAGATGAATTTGAGTTGACAACTCAACTTCTTCTCAAGCTGGTATTTACAACCCACATACTCATTTCACCACAGTGGCTGGTAGTACAGGTTTCCAGTGAAATGGCAAGTTCACACACCACCAACAATCAAGGGGGTGGCACAGTAATCCAGAAGAAAGGGGATGGGCCTTCACCCCTCATTTCTCTCTTGCCTCAGCGTGCACAGAAGTATGTGTCTGAGAGGACTCTGAATAGGTGTGGCGATGGCAAAGACACAGTGTAGAAAGGTGGAGGTAGTCCCAGGGAGGGACAAAGGACAGGCATCGCTGATGCATATTTTATAGGCAGAGGTGTTTAAGTATCTAACATCATTTTTGAAAGCTACTTTCTAGACACAGAAGTTTCCAATGGATGGTACAGAATTTAGAACTGGTAATGCCAAATTTTGGAAGCAGAAGCTGCATCCACTTCCGTAATAGCTTGCCTCTGGAAACCATATGAGCCTGGAGAGAGGATGACAGACACACAAGTGTTGAGGACTCTCCTTCATAGGGTCACTATGAGTCTGAGACTCGATGGCACTTAACAATAACATCAACACAGAGAGTGATCAGCTGGCCCAGTGGACTGAAAATGATGCAACCAAGCCAAAGGTTGGTGACTTTTAAACCGCGGCCCTTCGGCCTGTCTTTCATTATTTTTGTTCAAACATTCCTCCAGGTCGTATAGCCCTGGTGTGTCCACTTGCTGTACCACGGTCACTTGTGGTTGCTATGAGGCTGAACACTGTGACACTGATGTGTCAAATGCGTTAATGATGGACAGTGTTGGGTGAAACTCCTCGATTAAAACAAGCTTGGAAGCAGGAGCGGCATCCACTTCTGTAATAGCTTGCCTCCGGAAACCCTATGAACCTGGAGAGAGGACGAGAGACACACAAGTGTTGAGGACTTTCTTTCATATGGTCGCTATGAGTCACCGGCGAGTCGACGGCACTTAACAAAAACAACAACAACTATGCCAAATTAGCCACACAGTCTGTAGCAAACCAAGTGCTGCCACTTTCCTGTTACCTTGAGAGGAAACACAATCCTGTGTTGCCATTGACTCTGTGCTGGCAAGAGAGTTGGACGACTTTGGCTGAAAATAGAAGCACAGTACTATCTCCTTTAAGTGGGGCTGATAATGCAATAATAGTTCACAGTGGGCAGCTGACCATTAAAGAACATATAAACTATACATCTTTATATCTTCTCTTCATTCCTCCACCTCCAAAAAAGACTTTACCAAGAACTCAACATATTGCTATTGAGCTGGAACTGACTCAAGCTGCCCTCCTGTAAATCACATGGGCGGAGATTCCCAATCTTTTTCCCAAGGAGCAGCTGGTGGATTTGAACCACTGCCTTTGGGTTGACAGCGAAGCTCCTTATTCACTAGGCCACCAGAGCTCCCTACACCAGAACTAGGAATGTGTTGAAGCAGAAGCAGCAGCTCAGGCATCTCTCTCTAGTGGGACTAGATATATGTATGCTGGAGGTACTTTTGGCTTCTCACAACTATCAGCATCATCACCTTCCTCTTTTTTTAAATTTTCATTCGTGTTGCATATTTTCCTCCCTACTCCCACAGTTCACTTTAAAAAAAAATAATTCCTTGTTGCATAATTTCCTCCCTCCTTACCTCCCCAAGTCCACTTTGCTTTGGACCTCTTATTCTAGACTGTTGTCATACAAATAATGCCTATATTCCTCTTAAATAGTTCTTTCCTTAATTCACTCCAACACAGTTTTCATTACTTATCTACCGTTTTCCTAGTTTTCCCCTAACCCCCATGTCAGTCCTGTTTTATAACTGTGGTGTTATGCAGAATTTGTCCTTTTGTGACTTAGATACTTCATTCAGCATAATGTCTTCCAGGATCCAGAAAGGAATGGACAGAAAAACCATGGTACATTTACACAGTACTACACAGCACTGAAAAATAAGGCAATCAGAATATTACATCATCTTTGCCTTGTACACGGGGCATCTGTATAAGGAAGCTGCGCTCACAATCACGGGGAGTGACACTGTTCCAAGGACTTTGTATCAGTCTGCAAGCTTCCTTTAATTCAGCCAAGTTACAGAACTGTCCCTTTTCCTTAAACATCTATGTATGGGTCGGAAAGAACTGATTTTGCACCTCCGGGGATTTGTCATCTGAAAATAGTGGTCCTCGGGCTAACCTGCCCTCATTAATGCCTCATTCTTATTTCACAAAAAATATCGTAGCCATCTGCTTCCAAGGAACAAGAGATCCTGTACAATACCCTCTCCCTTCTCCTGTCCAAAGTCCCAAATCCTAGAATTGGGACTGTTTTTTAAATCATGTTGCTGTCAAGTCAACTATGACTAACTCATAGCAATTGTGCCTCACAGCAACAGACCACTCATGTGTCAATCTAATCTGTGGTGACTTACACATTGCTGTGACACTGGAAGCCATGTATTTCAAATACTAGCAGGGTCACCCATAGTGGATGGGAGCTTCCAGACTACTAATACAGATCAGGAGGCAGGACTGTCCATCCACTTCTGAAATGCCAGGCCTTCAAGAACCCTATGGATAATAGAAGAACAAGTCAAGTATTCCTAACTATTATTGTTCCAGTTCCAAAACAGATCCACTACTGTGGTCTTCCTGGTCTACATTTCAACTTCTGTTCCCCATCCTCATTTCTTTGGAAATCCAGGTTTCTGCTCTACTCAAGGAGAGTCTTTACACGGGGAATATGTTGTTGTTAGGTACCATCAAGTATGACTCATAGCGACCCTATGAACAACAGATCTGAACCCTGTCCTATCCTATGCCATCTTCATTCTCATTTCTTAGTGACTTCCTATCTAGGCTCCACCTGTAATACTATAGCTACCTGTGTTCCTCTGTTGTTCAGAGTTTTCGAAGGCCTATTATTTGGGAAGTGGATGGCTAATCTTTCTTCCTAGTTTGTCTTAATCTAGGAGCTCTGCTGTAACGTGTCTACTATAGCTTACCTTTCTGGCATTTGAAACACCAGTGGCATAGCTTCTAGCATCACAAAAATCCACAAGTTACCCCAGTGCAGCAGACCAACAGACAAGTACTGCACTGATTTACCCAAGTCTCACACTTGTCACCATTGAGGCAATTCCAATTTAGAGCAGCCCTGTAGGACAGACTAGAGCTGTCTAGTGAGGTTCTCAAGGCTGCTGTCTTTGTGGAGTCAATGGCTTCATCTTTCTTCTGCAGAACAGCTGGTGGGTCCAAACTGCTTTGCTTTGAACTCAACCACTGTGCTACCAGGGATTTAAGAAATGACAGCAATTTGAACACAACTGGATGCATCAGTAAGTATAAACATTTTAATTTTTAAAACAAAGCTGTGTGCAAGTGTCAAGCGACAGCTGGGCTCAGGTAACCAGGGTACGTTCCCATAGAGGCCAGACCACAGGATTGTGAGGGTACAAGGCCTGGCCTTCTGGGGACCTGAAGGGACAGCCGTGGATGACAAGGGACAGCCGTGGATGACTCAGGCCCCTTTGTGTCCTCTCTGTCCTGGCCCCTCACAGATTATGTCAGATGTGGCTGCATGCGCTACACAGGCCTTACAGGAAAGCTGTTGCTACTGTTCACTGTCAAGGGAATGAGGTTTCCTTGGAATCTATTTGATTTAGCCTCAGTGCATTTTACCAGGTGATAGTACAATAAATACTGCTCACTGTGGTGGTGGTTTTTCATGGCAAGGCTAGTGTGTGAGATACAAGTTACTGAACATGCAGTTGTCTATTGTCCTCAGGGCAGGAAGGAGTCAGCCATGTGCTCTGCTGACACTAGGTGGTTTTCTGTGTTGTTGGTTTCTTGTTTTAAGGTCTTAAATGGCTTTTTGACATTCCAGAGTCTAGGACAAAGTGTGTTTGTGCCACTACAGTGGAGCGGCTCTGGGCCAGGCCCTGCAAAGGAGGCAGGTGGTGCTGGGTCTCCACTCATCATGTGAGAACTTTCCAGAACCTGAAATGGGGTGAGTCTGTTTCCTGAAGCAGCTCTCACAAGTATGATGGCATCTGCTCTGTGAGGACCCATAGTCCCACAGGCATGGCCTGGTGCTTATAACGACAACTCTTGTCACTGTTCATCCGAAGCACTCTGCTGGGATGCTGTGTCGTCCAGCCCCATGTCCTCTTGGCTTGCTCGCCTGCACAGGACCTCACACTTCTCAGGTGGGACCTCAGCTGGATGGCGGTCACAGAGCCGGCCCTGCTCTGGGGCATCTGTGGGCTCGCACGGGTCTGAGAAGTGCTTGCAAAGAGAAAAGAGAAGCAGGAGCAAGTCAGTACATATGTCCTGACGGGGTCCCCGTTGGGGTCCCTAGCTGCCCAGAGGAGCTGGACAGAGCATCAGCACCTGTGTGCCCAGTGCCCTCAAAGGCAGGTTCTGAGTCAGGTCTGGCCAGAGGCCCAGCTTATTGTTTGAGGAAAGAACAGGAGCCGAAATCTACCACAACACCTCTGGAGGGGGCTTTTCCACAGGCAGACTGGGTACACTGGAAAGAGATGGCCACGGGCAAAAGGTTACCATATGCCTTAATGGCCTGTGACCTGTCACTGTCACCTGTGTGAGCTAAGGCCTCCCATAGATGCCAGGTTCCTGAGATTTAACTGAGACCAGGAGCACAGAGACACACATGACCCAGGGACTCTGTGCTCTCCATGGGGAGAGGGAAAGGGATACGGCCTGAGCCACACATGACTGGCAGCACAACAGACTGGACATGGAAAATTGTGCAATACTGCATGCATTTCTATTGAGGAAATGAGAAAAATGGAGAAAATTGGTTTACCAGCTTAGTTATTGAACCAACCAGTAGTCAAGTCAATGCCAACTCCTGGGGATCCCAGTGTCACAGTGGAACCTGTCCCATGGGTCAGCTGATGGCGGGGCTCCAGAAGGCAATCACCAGCCTTAATAAGGTACTTCTGGTGGACTTAAACTACCAGCCTTTTCATTTACAGCATCACCAAGGGAATCCACTACCTAACTCTTGTTGTGTGCCATTGAGTCTGAACTTACAGCTGACCATCCAGCATGTTTTCAGAGGCTATAACTCACACCAGAGGAGATTGCCCATCTCTCTCTCTCATGGAGAATTTCCACAGTGGATTTGAACTGCATGCCTTTGGGTTGGCAATGCAGCTCCTTCACTACTAGGTCACAAGACTCCCTATTATCTACCAATGTAATGAAATCTCCTGAAGTAATCAGCCCTTCCTCTCCCTGCCAGGAAAGGTGGTCCTGCTGGTGTAGCCCCATGGTTGTGCCAGGCAGGTCTGTTTCAGTGTTAGTGTCAGACTGGCAGGGGCAGTATTGTGTCTGGGGGAGGTGCCTGCCTGGAGAGCATGACCCATGGATGTAGAAGATGGTGACCAATCAGAGGCCGGGTGTCCTAACTCTGCCTCCCAGTAACTGCATGTAGGCATGGAAGCATACAGGGTGTCACTCTTATTCATGGACAGGAAGATGCAGTCCCATTCAAATGGAACATGGGAACCACCAGATCAGGAGACCTGTACCCAGTGCTGCTTCCTCCTTTTCCCTGTACCATGAGAACTGCTGGGCACCTCTCCCTTTCTCCCCTCCCGTGTGTGTGTGTGTGTGTGTGTGT